CCCCTAATGCCATCACTCTTCTAAGCAACTAATTCCCAGAACACTGTCAGATTATTTACTAAGACTGTATTACTATTGTTCTTCTCATCCTTCTTAGTACCTATCTCTTCCCACTTATGACTATAACCATGTTGCTTGTCTTTAAAATTTATATTGTTTTATTTGTTTCCTAGTATGATTTGATTTCTTATTAGTAACCTATGACTATCACTAAGTGTTGTATCTTATGATTCTTGATGAATATATTCTATTTTATTTTTCTTTATGTACATACACTACATTGAGAGTATATGCACCAAAGACAAATTTCTTGTGTGTCCAATCACAATTGGACAATAAAGAATTCTATACTGTTCTGTTTTGTTCTTTTCTGTTCTGTTCTATTCTGTGAGCTAATGAGATAGCTTGGATAGCCTTATATTGCTCTACCACTCTGTCATGCCTTCTCCCCACCCCATCCGCTACTGCATCTTATGAGTTTTCATTGCTTAGCAACCAGATCTCAGCTATTATTATTTTTTCCTCTGTGGGCAGAGTAAAATTGCTGGACTGGGATGTAATGTCCAATGGTATCCCAACAGGCCTTTTCATAACATATTGGCTATCAACAAACTTCCAACTTCTGAATACCCCTAAGCAGTGTCAAGAGTCTTGGGATTATAAGGGATAAAATAATATCTAATAGAGAAATATATGAACAAGCATTCCTCTGGTGGAGATCAAGTGATGTTATACTTTGCAGAGAACTATCTTACTCTGAAAAAAAATAGTCCTCTATTTCAAGGCATCCTTTTGAAAGGCTGCCCAATCCAAGCTTAGTTTAAAAACAAACTAATAAAAAAGGAGAGAACAGAGGATTTTAAAGTCACACCCTAGGGCAAAACACGTAGACAGTAGAGCAAGATTGAACTCATAGATGGATCTCAGTCTTTCCCACCATTGGTGAAATTAGTTGTATTTCTCTTTGAATTGTAAGAAATCTTTGTCTTCATTTGCACATTTACACAATATGAACATGACCATATCCTCCCTCTCTCTCTCTCTCTCCCTCCTTCTCTCTCTGTGTTTGTGTGTGTGCATGTGTGCGTGTTGGGGTGCTACACTTCCTCTTTTTTGACAACAGTGTAAAGAACCAAGAGCTATCTGATTTCCTTGTTACCATTTTTCCCCTTCCATTTAATGGTGTCTGGAGTCCCTGCAGTTTTCTTGGCAAGGTTTTTCAGAAATGGCTTGCCATTTCCTTCTTCCTGGGGCTGAGAAAAAGTGGCTGGCTCAGGGTCATTTAGCTGGCTTTGTGCCTAAAGTGGGACTAGAACTCACCATCTCCCAATTTCTAGCCTGATGCCTTAACTACAAAAGGGCTCTTTACTATTTCTAAAATAATTTTAAGAATGTCAATTGTTGATTCATTTGCAATGTATTTTGCACTGGTTTGTTAATCTGTATTTTTTTTCTTTTTACCAATTGTATTATTTCTTTTTTAAATGTCAATTTGTTCTAAGTGCTCCATAAAAAAAATAGCAGAATGTAATGCTATGTAATATAATTAATAATTTAATGGAAATATCTGATTTAATTGAAATATCAGTGTCTTGAAATTATTGTTGCCAGTTCATTTTATCTTTTTTTGCCAAAGAAACGGAAAGAAAATAGCATTACTATATGGTTTAAGTTTTATAAGTTAATAATAAAAAATATTCAGTTTGTATTTGCAGTTTTCTTTATTTACTCTAAATATAGTGAGCAAATAACTCGCTCAGGCAGAACTTCTACCTTTCATAAAATATTCTATGATGATATTAGAATAGAAAACTTCCAATAGCCTTGGGAAATAAATTATTATTAAAATCCTATTCAAAAATTCTATTAAACTGATAAGCGGACAGTTTTTTTTAAGCTAAGCAGTAGCTTAAAAATACTTGTTATAAGTAGTGGCTTCAGTAAGAATTTGAAGGAAGCCACACTGAGAAGTTTGTATTAAAATAATATATTGCTTATAAGAAATATTTTAGTATTAATACCTGAACAATCAACACTGCTGCACAATTAGATGTCCTACACATATGAATGAGATGGAATGAAATTTTCGTGTAATTCCATACATGATTCCAATGATTCTGACCATAATAAAAAATAGTCACTTAGCAACAGAGTCAAACTTATCCCTTTTAATAAAATGCGTTAACCTTAAAAGGTGCTACCAGATTCCTGGTTTTAGCTATCTCCTTTTGAAACTTGTCCTACTTTATCTACTTTTTACCATTTTTTTTCCATCTCATTTGCTTTAATGCTTCAGAGATCAATCCAATTGTATATGTCCTATTCCAGGACTTTAGTTTTATAATAGGAATCCTTTCCCAGTTGTCTGCCAGTAGAGTTCTAAACTGGCTTTCATGAAATGTCTACTTATAGTTAGTCGTTGACTTAACAACCATTCCTTCAGGGACTGTTTGAAGGTAGGTCGGTGCTGAAAAAAGTGACTTGCAACTGATCGTCATACTTATGACAGTCACAGTGTCCCTGTGACCATATGATCAAATGGGAGCTTGGCAACTGGCATGTATTTACAATGTCTATAGCTGTGTTTCTCAACCTTGGCCACTTGAAGATGTCCGGACTTCAACTCCCAGAATTCTGGGAGTTGAAGTCTGGACATCTTCAAGTGGCCAAGGTTGAGAAACACTGGTCTATAGCATCCTCGGGTCACATGATCACAGCTGCCTTCCAACAAGCAAAGTCAACGAGGGAAACCAGATTTACTTAACAATGGCACAATTCACTTAACAACCACAGCGATTCACTTAACCACCATGGCAAAAAAGGTAAAAAAAATTGGGCGTGATTCACTTAACAACATTTCACTTGGCAATGGAAGTTCTAGTCCCAATTGTGGTCATAAGTCAAGGACTACCTGTATTCTCCAGGACTCTCCTAGATATCTTCCTTTGACTAACTTCTAACGGTGTACTCCAAATTAAGACTATAATCTATAACTCCCAGCTCTGAGTTCTGGATATTGTACTTCCAACAATGGGTCAAAAAAGGCTAATTTTAATTTTAAATCTGTAGCCAAATATTTAATTGTTTGTTTGTTTCCAGGTCTCAACTGTTATTGGGATCCAGTTTGGAGCAATGTTTAAGGCATCAGACTAGAAACTGAGAGACAATGAGTTCTAGTCTTTCCCTAGACACAAAGCTAGCTGGGTCACTTGCGCCAGAGGTGGTATTCAGCCAGTTCTGGCAGGTTCTGGAGAAACTATAGCGGAAATTTTGAGTAGTTCAGAGAACCGGCAAATAGGCTGGCCCTGCTCCCGCTGCCTCCCAGCTGATCTTTTTTTGTTGACCTGAACAGACAAACGAAGCTGCAAAGCAGGTTAGTGAGGTGGGGAGGGAATGGAGATTTTACAGTATCCTTCCCCCAGGAATGGGGAGGGAATGGGGATTTTGCAGTATCCTTCCCTACCATGCCCACAAACCCATGCCCACAAACCCACGCCCACAAAGCCATGCCCACAGAACCAGTAGTAAAAAAAAATTGAATCCTACCACTGACTTGCGCTAGTCATTTTGTCTCAGACATAGGAAGAAGGGAATGGCAAACTATTTCTGAAATCACTTCTGAAAACAGTAGGGACTTCTTGCAATAACCAGGAGTTAGGACTCAGTCAATAATAAATAAATAAAATTGTGTGAGGGAAAGACTGCCGTTAACCACATGGAACCATTTTTTCATAGAGGTTGTCATTTGCCCTTCAGAGTTGTGAGTGACAGAACTTCTAGGGGATTCTGGAATATAAAATGTTAGCCCACCTAAGTTCCCCGCTTGCTGCTATCATTGAAATACTCAATAGCAAAGAAAGAATGAAAGAAATTGAAACAAAGCTAAAATGAAAAGGACTTGTAGACATAAACAGTGATAAAAACCGAATCTAGAAAACGAATAATTAACTAAAGAAGGAAAAAAGGTTTGCTCTCCCAGTTATGTCATAATTGAGAAATACATGATCTTACCTTGTCACAAAAAACCTTGATTTGGCAGAAGGCCCGATGAATGGGCTTATTGCTGCGATTGTTGTAACTGTATGTGTCAATCTGAATCATCAAAGGAAGACCCTTGACTCCTTTTTGAGAAGAGAAATCTGTGCTTAGGCAGTTCACTGTGATGAAAATCTGATAGGGTTGAAAAGATAGAGGTTTACACAGATACACTTTTCCACACAGAATGACCTGCAAGCTCTATTTCATATTTCAAGTTCCATTTGGAGCTCCCCTTGAGAAATTTTCTTCCGTATCAACAGACATCCACGTGAGTTGCTTTACTTAATTATTACTTCATTTACAGTTCTTTTCAAGAAATGGAACTAATCTGGCAAAATGGTTTGTTCAGCTCAGTTAAAATACCTGTTAGACAAGTGAAGTGTTAGAATCAATAAAATTACAGTAGTGCAAGTCTCAGTCGCAGAAATCAATATATGAAATTCTTCTCCTCTCTCTTTCACAATAGTTTCTTGAAACTCATTGTTCCCAAGGGGAACGAAACTACAAAAATAGTCACCATCATCAACCTGCTGATGGTGCCTGCTGCCCTACAAAATTGTCAACTGTACATAAGGTTTTAAAACCAACTGAATAAACAATATTCATTCCCTTGTAGGACTTGAATAGTAAGTAGAGGTTTCAGGCCAGCTTGAGCTGCTTGGTGTCATAGGTTTTATTAGTGTAAGATTTGGCATTAGAAAAGATACATATATTTCTGTGGATAATTTCCTGTTGTTTTATTAAAATTTGTCTACTAATTAGTTACTACTACTAGTTAGCGCATGAACCTATGTCTAGGTCAGCAGCAATCTTTCTGTGATACAGGGCAAATATACCTTTAGAAGAAGGGTGTCAAACTCAAGGCCCGTGGGCCCTATTCAGCTTAGATCTGGTCCATGGGGCCATCCTGGAAACAGTGAAGGACCAGCCCATGGTGCCTCCATGCAAATATATACTTGATATATTTAATCAAGTATTAAATATAATAAATGTATTCTATCTATCTATCTATCTATCTATCTATCTATCTATCTATCTATCTATCTATCTATCTATCTATCTATCTATACCTTTCCCCTTCAAGCACATTAAACTCTGCAAACTGGACACAATTTTGGAGGAACTCTGGCGCTGACCATGTTCTAAAATTTAATAACAAAACAAATCATTGCATAACTTTCCCCTTATCAATAATCTTAAAACCAAAAAATCTTATGACAACAGGAAACAACAGAAGAATTCTTTAAAGTAAAAGATGGATTTTACAAATTTTAATAAATGTTGCTAAGAGCTCCATGACATGAGTCTTCAAGCAGATTATTTCAGAATCATACTGTTGCAAAAAAGACTCTGCTTTTTCTGTCTGATAATCTAATCTTGGGAAATGATGATACTCTGAGAATATTGACTTTTGCTATGACTTCTGTAATGAGTGCCTCAGAGGGAAAAGGTTATATGTTCTTGTAGGATGCATCTTTGCGTGAAAAATGATTTTAGGTGGAATCTTTAAGAAGGGCTGAGAAGTCAACAAAGTCAGGCCAGACCAATTCCATATGCTAAGGGAATTCCAGACAAAATATACTGGCTATATATAGTGAAGAACCCATCTTAAAACCATTGTACATTTAGCTAAGTATTGTCTACAATGAATAAGATTGGTTATAATTGGCTATTATATAGATAAATTCTGGGGACAATTTATAGCCCTAGTAAAATATGTGGTCTATAATCCTTTCTTTGTGGCTTCCAGGGGCTTCCTCTGGAAAACTAAAAAAGCATTTGAAGGCAAGAAATTCATAAAAATTAAGGTAGACTTAACACAGTTTTAAAAGTTAATAATTTCCCACAAATATCTAGAAAAAATTATGTCCTAGTCTTAATGCAATGTTGTCTTTTGATTTGCGACTGTAGGTACATACTCCATCAAATAAATCTCAATTTCTGATTACTTTATAAATGTATCAGTGTAAATTTTCTTGGCAAAATTACAAAAGTCATTTTCTATTTCCTCCTCCTGGAATATTTTTCAATTTTCCAGACTGGCCAACAGGGCTATTAAAATAGTAATCAGGTATGACCCTTACATTTTGAGATCAATCATGATTGACTAAATGCTGGGACCTGTCTAGACACTATTCCCATTAGTCTCTCCAGAAATGTTAAACACAGCTCGGGGCCATCAAAAGTTATCCATCACTGGCTTATTGTGATGCATTAGGAACCTCTCAGTTGTCCATGGAGTTTAATCCTGATACCTTCTATCAGTTTAAGTATCGATAATACTGAGATAATACAATCAACTCATGCAACATTTTCTTGGACACTCTTAGACAACAACAATTCACTGTTGTTGAATTCATTCAGAAAAAGAAGACTAAAGGAAAAGAGAGCTTGGTTTAATAGACTACAGAGTGAAAAAGCTTTGCACAGAGAATTTAGCAGCAATCATCTGATCACCAAGTAGATAGCACTGCCCAGTAATTTAGGGTGAAGTCAGCTCAGCTTGTTTACTTGACCGAACTAAAAGCACAGCAGCATTTCTATTCTTGATGGTATCTCAGGAACTCCATGCTTATGAACTACATGGTTGAACTTTAACTGCTATGAAAGTTGCTGGGGAAAACATGACAGATTCAGATTAAGCAATGAGCAGCGCTCCCTGTCTTAATATAAACTCCTCAGGCACCTTCAGCACACAGAATTTAGAACATGTATGAAAGGGGGTGGCAGTGCTGTTCTGTTGCCCCCACCCCTTGATGTCTTCCACAGCACTATTGTCTGTCTATTGATAGCTGTTGATAAGCTTCATTATGCATCTCTGACAATGGATGCAATGCAGAACAATATTCCCTTTGTTAGCAGAAATTTAGTCACTGGATTCTTAAAAAAGAACACCTCCAGAAAATATGACATAACATGTTTTTCAAGTTCAGTTTTCCCCCCAGTATTTTCAAAGTATCTTGAGGTGGGGGGCGGGGGAGAATAGAGGAACTATGACTTTAGTTACCTCCTTTAATTGGACTCAAAAGTTAAAAAATGTAAGTTTTATTGCCTTTCTATCATCAAATCTAGCTTAGAGGTATCACCATGTCTGTACATCACAAAGTGGATTCGTTCTAACAAGTGCCTTGTTGATTCCTGACATTAAAAGTCTACAGTGCAAAACTGATTTACACAAGACCTTTGGAGGTTATAAGCTGGGAAGACTGAATTAAAGAAATAAATTCAGTTGTAGTAAATTATATTGACAGAGATGTACCGAAGAAGAGGGATGATGCAAAATATGTTACACAGATTATCATTCAGAACATTAGAATATTCCTCTTCTGACACTACACACTGTATATCAGATCTCTTAAACAATCAAGAGAGGCACATTCGTGATGTGTGCCTGTCATATCAGTATTAATGTCATGTTCTTCCTTATAGCACACAGAGGAAAGTGGAATAGAAAGAAGGTGGGGGGGAATCAATGTTTTTTGGAAAGGTTTCATGCTCAGTACACCATCCAATTACCCTCCTTCTGAACCCACACTGAGAAGATTTATATTTAATTATGGAAAGGCAATTTGCAAGCATGTGAAATCAGCATTACTCAATTCCCTGAGTCTGTTTTTAATTTTTGTTTAGCTTTGTGGTTTGGATGATCGTGCTGCAGTGGCAATTGCTTCTGAAAAATGAACAACCCATCATCAATTATCTGGAAAATAAACTATCTTTCAGCAACACTCTGGTATCATGTGCTTTCAAAAGGTTTTTTTTGTAACTCCAGCAACAAGTTCAAGAGAGAAGAGTAGATTTACAGCACCAAATGCTATATGGATGCTACGGAAGGAGAGAAGTTTGAAGGAAAAGCAGCAAAGACCACAAAAGCATATTATCTTGCTAAACAAGTACACTGGGATGGAATAAAGCATTGCACCTACTGCCTTGAGATCATGAGTAAAGATTGAGCGAAGGAAAAATAAAGCTTGCAAACATGACTCTTGAATTATCATGTATCTTTTCACAAATGCTTTAATCAATTACAAGTAGTTTTCGACTGCAACCTTTCATTTAGCGTCTATTCAAATTATGATGGCACTGAAAAAAAGCAACTTACAACTGGTCCTCACAATTACAACTGTCACAACATCCCTGCAGTCACATCATCAGATTTTTGAGTACTTGGCAACCAGTACATATTTATAACAGTTGTAGAGTTATACATCACATAAATTCCATGGTGATTGTAGGGGTGGATGGTTGGTGAAGAAGAGGGGGAGGAGCTGACTGCTGTGATGGATCCGAGAGCACGCAGGGCAGAGAAGAGACAAGAGCAACGGAGATCTGCAGATTACTTGGGAGAAGGTGCCGCCTGTTTTGATGGCCTGCACCGGAAAACTATTTATCAACAGCAGACAGAGGGAGGCGTTGCTGGGAATGTGTTTGGTTTCTGGCTGTGTGTATTTGTTCCTGGTGCTTCCTGCTAGACTTTGGAAACTCTGAACTTCTCTTGTCAAGTGAGCTTCTGTGGGTGTACTTCAATTTGGCTTGGTGGACTTCTTTGTTGGAGTAATTTTCCATTGTTTTATGGACTGTTGGCCATTGCCTTGTGGACTAACCTTTTGGCCTGCTTGTGACTGGAGTTGTTTGGGACAGTTCTGAGGGTGGATGAAGGGAATTGCTGGTGAACATTAATAAACTCTCTAAACCACACTTACATGTATGTGTGTTTGTGTGAGTGGGGCAGCACATTTGATTGCCATTTGCAATTTTCCCTGCCAGGTTCTAACAAGAAAAGTCAAGGGGAAGCTGGATTTGCTCAACACCATGTGATTTGCCTACTGACCATGGCAAAAAAGGATGTAAAATCAGCACAGACATGTGATGACTCACTTAAGGACAGCAGCACTTAGTGATGGGAGTTCTGGTACCAAGGTGGCGCAGTGGTTAAATGCAGCACTGCAGGCTACTGCTAGATCAGCAGTTCAGCGGTTCAAATCTCACCGGCTCAGGGTTGACTCAGCCTTCCATCCTTCCGAGGTGGGTAAAATGAGGACCCAGATTGTTGGGGGCAATATGCTGACTCTCTGTAAACCGCTTAGAGAGGCCTGAAAGGCCTATGAAGCGGTATATAAGTCTACTGCTAT